TAGGGCCAAAGAGGGGTAGTCATACCCAGTCATACTAGATAGAATATGATTATGTGATACATGTTATGTGGTAGTAGTACAGGGGTGAAATAGTCCTCGGTATCCGGTCGACAAGACCGAAGGGGAGGCCAGCACCCAGATATGCTAGGCAGTATCCGATCGACAGGACCGAAGGGGAGGCCAGCACCCAGATATGCTAGGCAGTATCCGGTCGACAGGACCGAAGGGGAGGCCAGCACCCAGATATGCTAGGCATTATCTGGTCGACAGGGCCGAAGGGGTAGGTCGGGCACCCAGGTATGCTTGACAGTATATGCATGATATGTGATTTTATGGTATGTGGTACGATGGGGGAGCTCACTAAGCTTTATGCTTACAGTTTTCAGTTTTGTTTCAGGTACCTCTTCAGCGAAGGGGAAGGAGTCGGCGCGGTAGCTGCACATCATACACACACCCCAGATTCCGCACTATGAGTTTCCTTGGGATTGTGCTCTAACATTATCACTATTTTATGATTTGGATTTTCAGACATTATACATAGTTTTATGAGATGTTATGATTTGTCAATGTTTTCCCTTCGAATGTTTTAATTAAAGTAAGTTATAAAAATGAAATTTTTGGACGTGAAAATTGGGCTGTTACATGGAAGTATAGTGTTAAACTTTGGAAAGGACCATATTGACATACTCTGAAAAGAGGCAACTCTTGTTCACAAGTGATAGTCAAAATGGGCATATGGAAATGTTTCCATAGGAGGAAGTTATCCTTTAAATCTGTGTAAGATTAGAAAACTTAATGCAAGAAGGATATTCAAAGGAATGTACTTTAAATGTGAGACTTCGTTTCCATGGAATTGATCTCCATTGGAATACTTTGTAATGTTTGTTGCCAAGTCTTGTGACTTGGGCATAGTCATTACAAGGGGATCATTGCATATAAGTTTAGAATCTAACAGATCACAGTAAATGGCAAGAGTTTGGTATTCTTACATTTACAATAAGGATTGGGATTGTGAAATGAGCATCATTGAAATATTGTCAATCGATCTATTTCACAAAGTAAGGATCATTAGACAAACATAGTGTGCATACTTGGAGTATGGCATAGCTATTGTTTGGACAAACATAGTGTGCATGCTTGGAGCATGGCATGACTATTGTTTTAATTCAAGTATTAAGTTGATAAATCGAAACATTATACAATGAATAATGAGTAATCAATATGGTGCTTAGATAAAAGGTGTCTTATTTACTCTCAAAGTGTGGGGCCATATAGATTAATATTATTCTTGTGTTTCACTTTGCATGTTTTGACTTCCCGAATAACTAGGTTATTCAAACCATCCACAGTCGATTATACTTTGGAAGTAGGTATTAAGGCAAGACTGTCATGAATGGGTCTGTAGTATGCCTAGGTGGCCTAGGCATAGCTGCAGTATTCATGAGTACTCCTGAAATAAGATTCGAGTATTGGATTCAAGCCACGCTCATTTGAATCACTTCATGGATTTTATCACGAGTGAATCATGAGACGATAATATCTTATATTCTTCAAACCTAGAGATATGAGTTGTTGACTATGAGTTGGTTATACATTGATTGCACGAAAACGCATTGGTAACTCGATGTTATAAAACATGCCTTTGTGTATGGTTCAACAAGTAGTTAGTACAAGCATATGAGTCAAAGTTTATCCATTCCTTTTACCCTTAAAGGGATAAAAGCGATATCTGTGGGCCCCTCGATGATTTAGTGATGACACCCCTAAGTGTTTGGCCAAGCCTGGACTGAGTTGATTTGTTCAATTAGTCAGTCGTCATAAATCGAAAATCGGGAAACAACAAATGGACAGAGAGAATGATTATAATCCATATCTCAGTCCATATGATATCTAGAATGGAGGAATATATGATCACTTATCTAATGGACGCGTCATTGATTTGTTCAGAGTTCGGCAGCAGCTTTTAAGAGCTACGATTGTTGGTCAGGTTGGAGTTGTACTTGCAATAATAGTTATTAGACTTATCCAAGTGGGAGACTGTTGGATTAGTGTCTAAGTCCATAACTATAATTGGTATATACTTGACCCGACCCGGCATGGTCCATTTGGGTTGCATGGCATCGAGACATTTGGATAGACCTTTTGTGAGAAGAGGATATTTGTGACATATTAATATATTATAAGTTCTAATATATTAATATGAAATCGTATTATTTAATTATTATTGATCAAGAATTAATTTAGTGATCAAAAGAGGCTAATTAAATATATGGGGATTGATTGTGTAAATCATTCATTCTTATATATGTGGGATTATGATCCATGATTCTTTATGTTAGGTTTAACCCATGTGGTGACCCATGGATACTCCATGGTGGTTAAAACCCATGGAGCATAAGGAATGGGTAAAGTCATGAGTAACATGGTGTAACCCTAATAGCCACACTATATAAAGACCCCATTGATTGGTGAAATCGACACTAGTGCATACACAAGAGGGCAAGCCAATTTCTATGAGTCAAGTGTCCTATCTCATGGTTATTCCAAGATGTTCATGATGTTGTGAGAACCATTTGAGGTGTCACACTTGGGGCACTAGTCTCTTAAGCTTCATGGAATCAAGCTACAACAAAGAGGTATGTATTCTATCTAGTTTGGTTATCCTATTACATATGATTGTATGCTAGTTAGGGTAACACCTTGGAAAATTGATATTTGCATGTATAATAGAGAAAACATAGATCCAAGGTATTTAGGGTTGCATGTACACCTTAGGAGTGTTAGAATGCTCAAAACCCAACAAAACGTTCACCTCCCATGTTGAAGTCTTGAATCTCCGCTTTTCTAATAAAATTATTAAAGTCACCAGCACTTTTGGGACAGAATTGTGATCGAAATCTCTCGTCTTTTCTTCTTACCACATTAAAGTCTCCAAAAAACAACTATTTTCCTTGCTTCTCCTGTTTTATTTTAAGTAATTTGTCCCATAACTCCTTCCTTTCCACAGGTGTGTGAGGCCCATAGATGTTGGCAAAGATTGTGTTTCTAGTAATCCCAATCCAAGAGCCAATAATTATCAAAAAATGTTTATTTTTGATAACCTCAGTCTTCTGAAAATATCTTGTGTCCCAAATAGAGATTATACCTCCAGATCTTCCACTGTAATTTACCCCGTCGAAATCAAAATCCAATGAATCCCAACAACCACTTATGTTGATCTTTGTGTAGTCTAACAACTGTGATTCCTGAATACCCACAAAAGATGACTTGTGCTTCACCTTCAAACTCCTAACCCAATTTACCTTTGTATCCACTCCAATCCCACGCACATTGAGGGACATACAATTCATTGAGTATGTGGGTTTGCGCCCATTCTCACCAACTACCTGGGCTAAGATGACATTGTTAACTTCAATCTGGAACCCAAGTTCAGCCCCAATTTCGACAGTGTGCATAATCTCCATGGAATTAGAACTTGAAAAATCACCCAATGCATCAGTCGTCACATCCTGGGTCTCCGCGATAGATTTGTTGAGGTCCAAAGATGACGATGCCTCATCATTGGTCACATCTTCGTAATCGATCACCACCAGAGGGGGAGAGGGTGCGATAGGTGGATCAGGAATCGGGAGTGTGGGAGTAATCAAATCATCTATGTATGTCGATATGGGGTTTAAAGGATGTCGTTTCCTTTTTTTAGATTTAGGGATTCCATCGATGGACTCTGGATCCAAAGTATTATCCAATTTTTGAGTTACTTTGTTGTGGGCCTGCCTTGTTTTAAAAGAAGTAAATGGGTTTGGGAATGGGCCAAGACAACCGAGCTAAACCATATTCATTGGAGATCCAAAGTTGTAGTTTAATGTAGCAAACCTCAGCTCGATTCTCCGGATTGTTTGCATTGATCCCCACACCATTATTGTTATCATCGGGAACCTCCGTGTCTTGAATTGCCATAACGTCTTCTATTATTTTCGTGTTGAGAATATCAATCGTTCCATTGCTAGTGTGAAGTTTCTCCATAGAACTAGTTGAATTATCGGTTGTATTAATTGTTGGTGCATCTTCTGAGACCATCGACGGAGTCAATTTCCGGTCACTGTGGTCGTGATTAGCGTGGTCGTGTTCTAGATTCACCATCGGCGACTCCGGCTTGTCAGCCAGTTTTGGTGAATTCCCATTGTCTCGGATGATTTCTCCTTCTTCTACTATGCTTGGCATTTTTTGTATCCTTGATTGACAATACAAATTACAAGACAACGAGGAATCCATAAATCTTGAGTGGGCCTAACTAAAGATGATACATACCATAGACCTCCTTGAATGGAATATAAATCTTCACAAAAATGTACGACAAACTCGTTGCATTTTCCATTATATACGATCCCTAAGCATATATAACTATTAAGCAACTATATATTAGAAATATGTTTCTTTAATTAAATAATTAAAGATAATGATTTTGATCAATTACAGAAAATTTGACAAGGTTTTGTTTTATTTCAGATATAAAATTCGAAAACTTAATTAATAGAAATAGATCATGCGTGGGATTGAAATGGAAGCGGTTGAAAACTTAATGATTTTATTGATTTTATTGTTCAAGACATGAACAATGCAATCAAGACTATATGTATTTGAAAAATGAAGTAATAACACTTAAACCAAAGTAAACCCTAGCTAAAACCCACAGTAGTCATTGCCTCACCACACAATCTTCTCGGTAAACTCCTCATCTTCTTCTTGCATATCCATTGGAGGAGTTTGATTCAAATCGAATTTAAAAACCACTTCACGTCTGCCCTTGGATTCTTGATCAGCCTGTATCTGCCTTAGTATCTCGCTTGGTTGGGTGATAGACTGACGGCCAAGAGTCAGTTCCAGTTCAAGGTGGATATTTGCTGCTTCTAAATCCTGGTCATGATCCACTTTCTTCAATCCCACACGTTTTCTCATGGACGGTAGTTTACAACTTGACACGTGACGCCCTCTCTTGCGGGTCAACTTCCACCTAAGTACTGGGGCAGCATTGAATCAGCCACCTTGATCACAGTAGGGGTTTTAGGCACTGTGAAGAATGTCTTCCAATCGCCATCAGAATGACCCTCCATGTGACCGTAAAGGAATTCCATCTTCTCAAAGGTTTTTTTGCATAGATTACAAACTGTTTTACCATCATCGTTTACAAAATCCACGGTGAAATCTTTTCCTTGTTGCGGATGTTGTAGTCTTATCTTTCGCATATCTAGCGGCTTCTTGGACTTGGTTTCTTTTGTGGGTTTGACAAGAGCGGCTGTGGAGTTGGATGCGACGGCGTTAGCATGATTAGTCGCCATGTAATACTCTGTAGCGATTATGCATGTGAAGCGTGAAGGATACATGACTATATTAGTTTATAGGGTTTAATGAAAATGTAAAAGGAAAGTCTATATGTGCTAGGAGACTTACAAAATATTCTACTTGTACTAGTATACTAATTCTGTTACCTGATCATTCTCGTTTTCCGGGTTTTTTTTCTTGTTATTATTATTTTAATATTTATGTGTCAAAAATATTAATGCATTTCTAATGTTTTTGTATAATGACAAATATTTTCTTTTTATTTAACTTGTTTGAGAAAATATTTTATGACGGCTGCTTGTATATTTTACTTACGTCATTTTCCTATAATATGAGAATTACCTGAATATGAACATATGCCGAGACATTTTTAATATATGGAAACTTTAATAAAATCCAACATATTTTTGTTAAATTTTTTTTAAAAAAAAACTATTATATATATATTTTAATAAGGTAAAACCTTTATATTTTTTAAATGGTCTAATTTATGACTTTAAGATCCACAAATCATAGATAATCATAAATGTTAGATAATCGACTTTCAAAGCTAGTAATAATTCATTAGATTAAAAATCACGCTGGTTTTACTACGCTATAAAATTAATATAGTGATTTTTTTAATGATTGTATGAAAATAGGTTGAGTTTTCCGAGGTTGGAAAAGCTTAAATAAAACTTTCAGAAAATATAGGGGTTGTAATGCATTAAAAAAATAATATAGAGGTTTTTTTAAGAATTAGATGAAAATATGTTGGGTTTATTTGAAGTTTGCCCTTTAATATATTATATAATATGAGAATTACCTAAATATGAACATGGATTTAATTTAGTGTTCATCAATTTCGATCAAATTTTTTGGACAAATTATCTTACAATCTTGAAAATACATTTTCCACAAACCATGTCATGATTCAATATATAGTTTGTAATTTTTGTTTCAGCTTATCATCTTTGTGTAATTTGAACTTTATATGAGTGTTAAAATAGATTAAATTATTACATAATTCAAATTCGCGGCAGATTGTTGGAAGTGGTCTTTAAGTTACATCGGACCGTCCCCCCGACCTCCCAAACATAATGATAGAAATGGAAAGATAGAAGTTGAAGCACATAAGGACGAAAGTATAGAAAAGTATAATATCTTCCATGATACATGCATAATAAATAAAGATCTATCAAGGACAGAAGATCCAATATTATATTAGCTACTAATATAATATTACCATCCCTTCCTATAAATAGAAGTCTCCTCTAAATATTCTAGGTAAGTGCACTTCACTCACTTCAATCTCTCTCATTGATATATCCTTGTCTCCATATAATGGACTTGTTACCGCTAGGAAGAGTTGACTCTCTTTACATTAACGATCTAACTTGATTGCTCCCAGGGCATATTTCGTAGGATAAGCCTAATGGTCTTCCTTCTTGATGTTGCTCGGGTTTAATAATCTGAATCCAACCATGATGCATAGTTGCACACCCATCAAACATATGACCTACAAGCAAGACCAGGATAACCAATTAAAGAACTCGGTGTATCATCAATTTTGGGGGACTGCCCCCCCCCCCCCCCCCCGACCCTCGGCCTCCCTCAGAGAAGGGTAGAAATAGAAGGATAGAAGTTAAAGGGCAAAAGGACGGAAGGATAGAAAAGTAGAATATCTTCCATGATACATGCATACTAAATAATGACCACAATAGATTCCAACTTGACAATCGAAGTAAATCGTACAGGTTCTTTTGTCCCCAAACCGATTGTGTATTTCAATCCAGTAAAAGTGGTTGTTAACAATGTCAATTTCAGAAGCATGAGTTTCATGGAGTTCATCTCGTATGTGAAGAAGTTGGTTAAGGATGGAAGAATCAGTATGTAATATTGTCTTCCACAACGTTCACTGAGAAATGGGTTGAGAGCCTTGGAAGATGAAAATGATTATGTTTGTTTTCTTGATGCTGGATATGAGAATGGGGGCATGATCAATTTGTGCATTGATCACAGTCAGGAGATAGTTATGGAGTGGATTGAAGAAGAGATAGTTGAAGATGGATCGATAGATGGTAATACGGATGATGATGATGATGATGATGTAGACTCTGAGCTTTCAGATAATGAGTTTGTGGAACATGAACCTGATGATGAAGTGATACAAATATAGCCATCTGATGATCCTTTCATTAGAAGAAAATTTTTCAGGCCTCCAATAGTTGTAGATGATAAGAAAGATGTCAAGAAAGATCTTCATAAGTATCCAGTTCATGATCCTAACCAAAAATAGGATATAATGGTTCCAGTCTTAGGTATGAAATTCTGTGATCGTTATGAACTTAAGCATTTGTTAAGAAATTATGCTGTTACTAACGGGTATAAACTGTGGTATGAAAAAAATGATTCAACTAGATTATTAGTTAGATGTTGAAAAGGTGAAGAGAAGTCTAAATGCCCTTTTTGGTTGTAGGCAACTTGGATGAGTAAAGAAAGATCATTTCAGATTAAGTCCTTAATATCTGAACACAACTGTTGTAAGGCCTTCAATTTAGATGCAATGGTCACATATAGTTGGATTGGAAAACAGTTAATGGAAACCATAATAGATAATCCAAGAATAAGTTACAGGAAAATGGCAGCAGCAGTCCTTAGAGATTTTAATCTAAAAGTTAGTTTTGGTCAGTATAGAAATGCCAAAAAATTTGCAATGGATGAGATAGAAGGGAGTTTGGTGGCACACTATGAAAAGCTTAGGAGTTATGGTTTGGAGCTATTGAGGACTAGTCCAGGTTCCACAGTGAAATTGGATGTGGATATCATACCTAATTCTACAGTCCATTTTTCAAAGATGTATATTTGCTTGAAGGCTGTGAAGGATGGTTGGATTGAGGGGTGTAGAAGAGTGATTGGTGTAGATGGATGTTTTTTAAAGGGACTTTGTAGAGGTGAGGTACTTTCAGCTGTTGTTAGGGATGCTAATAACCAAATGTATCCTCTAGCATGGGCTGTTGTTGCAGTTGAAAAGAAGGCAAGTTGGAAATGGTTTTTGGATCTATTGCTTGAAGACATTGATATGGGACAAGGCAGAGGACTAACCATCATCTATGACCAACACAAGGTAGTCAACTGTTTTTTAATAATAATATTTATATTTTATTTTTAATTTATAATGACATTCAAATGTTACTTAATAGGGACTGATTGAAGCAGTTAAGGAAAGAGTGCCAGAATGTGAGCATAGACAATGTGCTAGGCATGTCTATGCCAACTTCAAGAGAAAATTCTTAGGAGTTGAATATAGTAAACTTTTATGGGGTGCTGCCAATGCCACAACCACCACAAAATTTGAAGATATAATGAAGGAGATCAAATTAATTGACATAAATGCCTATGAACACCTAATGGAAAAAAACCAAACACATGGTCTAGGGCATTTTTTAAGGAGGATAGTGGTAGTGATGCCATTGAAAATGGAATATCAGAGTCATTTAATGCAGCCATTGTCGAAGCTAGAAGAAAACCAATAATAGCAATGTTGGAAGATATTAGAGTGTGTGTCATGGAAAGGATGTTTAGTCAGAAAAGGAAGGTCCTGAAGTGGAACTTGGAGATTTGTCCCTCAATTAGAAGGAAGATTGAGGACATGAACAAAATATAGAGGTATATAACTATATTTATACATAATATATATATATATATATATATATATATATATATATATATATATATATATCAATACTAACTTATATGTTACATTTCATAACAAGTTTTGGGAAGTAACTCCAGTGGTTTTTATCAATATGAGAGTAGGTGGTTGAATGAGGTGTATGCAATTGACTTACATAAAAGAACCTGTGGATGCAGATCATGGCGGCTGACAGGTATACCATATGTCCATGTTATTTTTGCAATCTTGTGCTTGAAAGGAAATATATAGGAGTATGTAGCAATTTGGTACACAACACAAATGTTTGGAAGCTGATACAAGTATAATGTGAAGCCAATAAATGGATATGAAATGTGGCCAGCAAATGATATGAATACCATCTTACCACCAAAGCGTAGAAGAATGTCTGGCAGACCAAAGATGAACAGGAAGAAATGCATTTCAGAAAGAGGTGACAGACACACTGTTAGGAAAGTTGGGACCACTTCTAAATGAAGTTAATGTTCCCAACCAGGTCATAACAAGAGGAAATGTCCTCTCAATCAGGTTAATGAAGTAGATGATTCAGATCTCTTTGATTACCATGAGCTATTCGAGGGTGAGGGATAAGGCCAAGGACAGGGACAGTGACAAGGCCATGGGGTTGCTGAGGATGTTGGAGTTGATTTAGAGGAGGGGGTTGGAGGTGATTCAGAGGAAGAAGTTAGAGGTGATTCAGAAGGGGAGGTTGGAGGTGATGAACATATGGTTGATTTAGAGGTGGATGATGAACAAGTGATGAATCTTGGAAATCAACATGTGGTTACTCCTACTTTGAAAAGTATAAAGTGTGGTCCTTCTCAGATGAACACAAAACTTAGGTTGAGGAGGAAAGTGGTGACCAAGGATGATACAGGGGGAAGTCTTGAAAATCCTCTCACAATCTAGGAGCAGTGTTGGGGACAGCTTTTATGAAGGGCATCTTTTGGTAGAGAATCTTTTGTTGGGCACATCTTTTGATTACTTGTTTGTATTTAAGCCAAAAACTGATGAAGGCACATGTGGTGAGGTGTAATGTATGTATCTTTTTAAATATTCTATTAGCATGTAATGTATGTGGTCCCACTTTGGTAATGTATGTGTCATTTTGTTTTTTGAAACCTGAATTATTGTTGGACTTATTAATTCCGTTCCAATATGTGGTCCATTTTTTGTATGTATGTGGTCCAATTTTTGTATGTATGTGTCATTTTGTTATTTGAAAATTGAATTATTGCTGGACTTATTAATTCCGTTCTAATATGTGGTCCAATTTTTGTATGTATGTGGTCCCATTGTTATTTGAAACGAATCATTAATTCCAATTCAATGTACACAATCAATATTAACCAGGAATCATTAATTCCATTTCAATGTACACAATCAATATTAACCAGGAATCATTAATTCCATTCCAGTGTGAAGAATCAATATTAACCATGAATCATTAATTTCATTACATTGTGAAGAATCAATATTAACCAGGAATCATTAATTCCATTCCATTATGAAGAATCAATATTAACTAGGAATCATTAATTCCATTCCATTCCAGTGTGAGCACTCAATTATATTTAGGAATCATTGGTCCCATTCCTTTATCAAAACTAATTTTATTTCCATAAAACATTGATTCCATTCCAATACAAGACCAACAACATTTCAGTATAACATACATAAAAAACATAACAAAGAACAACAACATACAACATTTGAGATTCTAGTATTTCCTACTTAATTTATCGAAGTATTTTCTGAAACTCATTGATTCTTTATCTGCCTTCACCTTATGAGTCCAAAAATTATTTTCCAATATTGATATCTTGATTTCAGTGTTGTCTTGTTTTATTAGTTCTTCATCTTGATCGACCCATTCCCAGAAATCACATTTCTTCTTCTTATCCTTCAATATACATAATAAAATTCACATAAGAAATTAATTATGTAAGAGAAGTAGATGATAGATGATAGAACCACTTACTAGTGAGTTACGACATACTCTGAACTTTCTACCCGGATTATCAGCCGTAGTTGAGGTCCAAACTTGGGAAGGCTTCTCACAGGGACAAGGGTGAGCATAATTTTTGGCCTATATAACAGATTATCTTTGAATTTTATGTGTTTAACTTATATGATTGTATAGACTTTCGGACCTAATATGAAACAAATTTTGGCCTATATAACGGATTATCTTTGAATTGAAAGTCTTGATGCTAATCTTATTCGGTTAATGCCATTTTCTTAATTTATTGTGTTTTCTTCACTATACTCACATGTTTGTTGCATCGTACAAACCCACGATTTTATAAAATATATGAACTTACAAAACATAAAAATTGTATTCATAACGGTTCATATATGTATTTAAAAAAAATTATAAACTTACTGAGAACAATTATATCTTCGTAAATTAATAAATTATTTTGAAATTTTTTATTACTAATTAATATTTGAATTATAAATAATGTTTTTTTTTCTTAACCGTGGGTTTCCACGGGTTTAAACCTAATTCTTGAATATTTGTTGTCTTTTCAGGTTTTATACTGGAACACGATTAGTTGCCTCCATTGTTGTGATTATCTCAAAGGTTAAGTTTTTAAGCCTTGTCCTTGTACTCACAGTTAGTATCCAAGTTATTCACTTTTACCTGTTTCTTATTGATTTACATTGGTTTTTGGGGGCTTTTGGCAGCGCAACATTTCTTAAAACAGTAAAGCCCTATTCCTCGTCATGGTCTCTTTTTTAGTTGTTTATTCTAATTTCACTATACTAAGGTGGATACAAAAAACCAACATTGCAAGTGTTAGCCACTGAAAGTTGGATTTTTTAATAAATATATCAAATAATGTAAATTGCAATTCCTTTAGGCATTTAATTATCATATAACAATGAGTGAGATGACAAACGGGCAACAAGCTAAACACGGTTGTATGCAAATGGTGCCTAACGGATGTAAAAGAACTCAATGTTTCCGGATAAGGTACTCCGAAAATTTCCATGTGAAAATTTAAATACATCATCGTTTACCTATAATTTTAATCTATTGATATTCTTTTTTTGGTTGCTTGATCAACATTTATAGTAGTATTTCTCTTTTCGTTGATTCATAATCATTTTTAAAAGAATAGGTTTATTGAAATACAAAATTATATAATAGAAATGTAAGCACAATGTTGTAATCTCCAACTACCAAGAAACAACGTATATTACTCTATTTTGCATTTAAACCTTTTCCCAAAAAAAAAGTTTATATGCAAAAAAACACAACTCTTCATTGTGTGTTATAGCATCTGATCTTCATTTTTTTTACATTACAACTTCGTTTTTTTTTTTGTCGTTTGACCCTTTACAGAAAATAGTCACACTAAATAAATTGACTAATCATTCAACATGATAGTGTGCATGGCTAGCGGAAGCACCATGAGCTTAAGGTCAAAGACGAGAACACCCTTCTTTTCGGTGATTATAAACCCGCCACTGTTTTTAGAATCAGGTAACATCTATTGTTACTCTCTGTTGGCTATATTTTTTTTTATCAAGAGTATTTTGTAAATTATTTGTCTTTTCATGATATGTAGGAACCCTGAGGAAATCTCATGGTTTATAGTTTGACCTGACTTTATTGTGGACTCTCCCTAAGTCTTCACTGAGAAGGATAAGGCTCTTGTCCATTTGAAGAGCCAATCTTTCAAGTATTAGATGTCCCAAATTGGGAAATCTAAGAACAAAAAAAACCCTCCTTACGCCCGTGAAGCAAGACAATTTCTAAGAACAAGATTAATGGATCTTCAGGTAACATTATTAGATTTTAACCTTTTGTAAAAAATTTAAAGGGGTTAATATAAAAAATTATCAACCAACTCTTTCATATGTTAAAATTTAGTCATTTCTTAAAGTAAGTAACTACACATATTTGTTCATATTATATACAGTTAGCAACTGATATAGCCTATCCAACTGCTTTTGGGTGTTTTTCTTATCATTATAGACTAATTCAACAAATGGCAATGTACTTTTATCAAATGTAGAGTACATACCTTTAAAACGAAGATCGAGAACGGAAGACGCAACGGTATCATCTGGTAAGTGAATGCTGGAAGTAAGGGAATATGTATCTTTTTACCATTTTCATATATTTACCTCTACATATTTCTTATCTTTTTACCTAAGGAAGCAATGTCAATGAAAAGCACAAATTCATCGTAATTTCTTCATTGCCACCAGGATAGGTGAGTGTTATTACCTGAATCAAGTTCATCGGTGTGTCATCACCAGGATAGGTGAGTGTCATTACCAGAATCAAGTTCATCGGAGCAGTGGTTATGTTGTTTTTTTATAGGATTAACTATAAGAAATAACAATGTAGTTTCGTTGATTTGTTTATTAAAGCACTCCACCTTCATTTCTTCCCATTACAACATTGCACTTCGAAGATATGACATTGACAGCTAGGGGTGAGCAAAAACCAAACCACAAACCGAAAAACCAAAAAAGCCGCATAAATCGAAACTAAAATGAAAACCGACAGTGTGGTTTTTAGTTTTGCAAAAACCGAAAATGGTCGGTGCAGTGCGGTTTCTATTCTTGAAAAAACCGCAAATAATCGAACCGCACCGCACATATATATATATATATATATATATATATATATATATATATATATATATATATATATATATATATATATATGTGTGTGTGTGTGTGTGTGTGTATGTTGATATATGTAAGAACGAAGAACTCATGACAATTAAAATTTCTATAAATATAAATATCTATCTTACCAGATGATAATTGTATATTTTTAAGCATATATTCAATGATATTTACAAGAACAAATAATGTTTATGACATTTTTTAACATTTAAATGTGAAGACTAATAGTGATGATATTATCATTTTTATGAATACATTAATTGATATTATCGTATGTACCTGTGAAACAAATATTATATTTAATTTGTATTATATTTAAGCATTATAAGCATGTTGGATGAGTGGTTATGTCATTTGATTTCAAACCAATATGTGGTGGTATTGGTTCATCTCCAAGATATCATTTGGGCTTTAATTTTGTCAACCTTATAAGAGCATACCACATCGTCTTTGAGATAAAACATTCACCATTCTCACCTTTTATATATATATATATATATATATATATATATATATATATATATATATATAATATATATATATAAAAGAGAATCAAGTCTATGACTTTTAACCCACATATTTGAAGAGTCATTCATCGGTGTGTCATCACCAGGATAGGTGGGTGTCATTACCAGAATCAAGTTCATCGGAGCAGTGGTTATGTTGTTTTTTTATAGGATTAACTACAAGAAATAACAATGTAGTTTCGTTGATTTGTTTATTAAAGCACTCCACCTTCATTTCTTCCCATTACAACATTGCACTTCTAAGATATGACATTGACAGCTAGGGGTGAGCAAAAACCAAACCACAAACCGAAAAACCAAAAAAACCGCATAAATCGAAACTGAAATGAAAACCGACAGTGTGGTTTTTAGTTTTGCAAAAACCGAAAATGGTCGGTGCAGTGCGGTTTCTATTCTTGAAAAAACCGCAAATAATCGAACCGCACCGTACATATATATATATATATATATATATATATATATATATATAATATATATATATATATATATATATATATATATATATATATATATATATATATATATATATATATATTAGCCGTTTACCCGTGCCAAGCGACGGGTGCAAATTGTTTTTTCAAAAATTATTTTCTACAGTTAATTAGTTTTTTTGCGCAAATAATTTAATACATGTAAACAATTATCAATAATAGTAATATTTTCTAATTTCACCAAGAACAAACTAATCTTAATAATATATTATCAGTCTATAATAAATTGTCAATTTCTTTAATAGATAAACAAAAAAATTCAAAATATCTTTTAATTAAGATAATACATAAATTATTCAATCAACAAATTAATCTTAACAATATATTTATGAAACTAATATTTGTCAACTATATTTATCAACTTAATTGAAATTACCAATATATAATTTATGACATCTACGACTATGATAAAGGATGAACCACAGACATTGTTAAGTATGTTTGATTATATTGTTAAATATAAATTTCTATATTTTAAATAATAGATATCTAAAGTGTTTTAATTTTCATAAGTCCAAATAATAGTATATGGTTTTTAAAATTGTCTTTATGTTTATTATATAATATATTATTGTATTCAAGAAAATCTCTCTCCTCTAATAAACAAAACCTATTTTGGCCGCATGTCCCCATTCTAAATTGTCACTTTGCCACGTGTCATGTCCCTATATTTCCGAAATTAAAAATTATAATTATAATTATAATCGTATATGAGACCCGTATGAGGTTTTCAATGTTTCAAGACATTCTTCCGATCAAGTGATTAAATCTGCTTACACAAAGCTCCCTCTCAAGTTAGTTTCACTTTCTTTTCTTCCTTTCTGATATATATTGTAATCGATGGTGAACAAGTGCTTTCAGTTGTTGTATTGTCTTTAATATCCACTACTGGTATTTCAATCGATTTGTATCCATGAAATTTAGGGTTACATGATTATGTTCATGGTTGCTCTTTCAGTTCATAATCATTTATGAACGGCGACCTTACAGTTGCTTATTCGTGAGTCCGATTATTGTTATCATAAGCAACCACAGACATTGAAAAATTAAAATTTTCTTATAATCGTAATAAGTATTTCACAATACTGTGAAACCGATTATTGTTATGAATTAGTATCGACTGGTGCTCCATTCATGCATTGTTCATCATTTCTTTTCTTGGCAATTAAGATTTTAATTCGGTTTGATTCACATAACAATTTTCAGCACCTTTTCACTGTATTAGGTACGATTTAATGAGTTCGATTATGCTATATTGCTATTAAGTTACTTCTATAGATTTACAAAATAAGTTATTTATAGGTATCACCCTGACAAGAATGCCAATAATCCTGAAGCCTCAGAACTATTCAAGGAAGTTGCATATTCTTACAACATTCTATCTGATCCAGAGAAAAGAAGACAATATGATAATGCAGGATTTGAGGTTAACATTTTCTTCTTTTCTACCATTTATTTAGCAACCTGTGTTTATCTACACTTATCAGCTAATGAGCTAAAAAGTAAAATTCATCTCTTATGAATCAAATAGGCTATTGATGCTGATGGAACAGACATGGAAATTGACTTATCTAACCTTGGAACAGTGAATACAATGTTTGCAGCATTATTCAGGTGATTTTTAGTTGTAATTTCTGTATGTTAAAGATTCATTTTGAGAGATCTTTATAGTTATTCTCTTCCATTCACTTTTTCCTATTAAAGTAAGCTTGGAGTTCCTATTAACACAACTATTTCTGCTAATGTTCTTGAAGATGCTTTAAGTGGAAATGTTACAGTCAAACCCCTTCCATTAGTATCATCAGTTAGTGGAAAGGTACACATAAGTCTATTTTCAAGATTTTTTAACAATCAACTCATTTTTTTGGTGTTACTGTAACTGAAGAACAAGCTCAAGTTGGGATTATAGTTAGAGTTACTTCAGCCACTCAAAGAAAATTTAAGGTACTTATATCTGTATTAAGCCAAAAAGAAACACTGATAGTAAATGACCATTTTACCCTTCTATTCATATCCAACACAATTCTCTCCCCTTTTGCTGACCTTTATGTGGTTCTAATGTTGCAGCTGCTTTATTTTGAGCAAGATAATGGTGGGGGGTATAATCTTGCATTACAGGTAACACTTTTTTCTTTTCAAGGGCTTGGATAAACAATCAGCTCATTTTTTTGGTGTTAATGTAACTGAAGAACAAGTTGAATGGGATTATAGTTAGATACTTCAGCCACTAATAGCAAATTTAAGTTACTTATATCTATATTAAGCCAAAAAGAAACACTGATAGTAAATGACCAGTTTACCCTTCTGTTCATATCCAACACAATTCTCTCCCCTTTTGCTGACCTTTATGTGGTTCTAATGTTGCAGCTGCTTTATTTTGAGCAAGATAATGGTAGGGGGTATAATCTTGCATTACAGGTAACACTTATTTCTCACTTATTACAGGTAAAAAAAATCAAACAATGTAGCATCCTACTTACCTTTATATCTCACTATATCCTAAACTAAAGTGTATATTTGTTAAATTTATCAAAAAAAACAATGAGAGGTCAAATTGAGAAAAAATGACAACAAATGGTAAAATTAAAATAGTAAAAATGATGAAAGCAGACGATCATTTATTCCTTGAACAACTTCATTCACCTGATGTTCACATTCACAATCAGTTTGATGAGAGTTAAAATAGTAAAAATGATGAAAGCAGAAAAAATATATTTTTCACATTCACAATCAGTTTGATGAGAGTTTAAATACACCTGATGTTCTAAATGGACTTAAAATCTCTGGTTTGCCAAACCATAAGTTGATTTTAAAGGTCGGTGTTCCGGTTATGTTACTAAGAAATATCGACCAGAAAAATGGGTTATGTAATGGTACTAGACTTCAGGTCGTATCATTGGGTAATCGCGTCATAGAAACAATGGTCTTAACTGGAAGTAACATTGGGCATCGAGTTTTTATTTCAAGGTTGTCTTTAACACCTTCAGACAACAAAATTCCATATAAGTTCAAAAGGAGACAATTTCCCCTAGCGGTTTGTTTTGCTATGACCATAAATAAAAGTCAGGGCCAATCGTTAAAAAGGGTTGGGTTGTTTTTGCGAGAACCGGTTTTCTCACACGGTCAGTTATACGTTGCTTTATCTAAAGTAAAGAGCAGAGAATGATTGAAGTTATTGATTTTAGATAACGATGGTAATTTGACTAATAAAACTTCCAATGTTATGTTCAAGGAAGTATTTCAAAATCTATGTTGAAGTTTTATGTTTATTTTTTTAAATCAAATAAAGTTGTACTTACTTACCATCCATAATCCAATGCTTTTTTACATTTATTATTTTTTTTGGTCTATATAAAATTTTTAACTTACCACCCGTGGTATCTACGGGTTATAACCTAGTGTATAAATATTTGAAGACGTTGAAAATTTACTATGCTACAATTGTTGAAGATATTAATCAAACATATTATATAGGCACAATTAACAACTCACATAACAAAAAAAATTATATTTTAAAAGGCAATATACATAGTTTTATTCTTTTTGAAGCGACAAAAGAACTCTGTATAGAAATAAACTTTATTAGTTGCAATTGCAAACTGGTCTTCAACTGGAACTATGATGAAATGGAATATTCATCATATAGTAGGAATAATAGAAATGAATGACATTTCCATAAATATTCAATAAGATCTACAAAAGTCATCGCAATATCACTTCAAGTTTCTTTGAGGCCCTTATTTCACATCTTTATAAATACTACAGGATTGTTGTAGTAAAGAAATATATGGGCATGGATTCCTAATGGGTCGAGCCAAATTTTCATCTTTATTCAAAAAAACTCAAAATGCAGCTAGAGATAAATATCTCTACCAATGTAGCTTATATAAACTGTATTTTTATTGTTTAAGAAAATGAAAAGATAAAATAATCCATAAGATAAAACCAAATAAAAAGAAATAAAAAACAAACATATGTCACTATCAACATGGATTGGAGGATTTGTTAAAATTATATTTTTAAACAAAAGGTGAATGATTGGTTATAGGGATGAGAAAGAAGACAACTTTCAGCAGTCATAGCTACAACAAACAAAGCATAATCATCTACTTTGCATGTGAGTAACTTAACCGGTAGATGCTCTCTCCTGAGAAAATTATGTCTGGAATTGAAAATTAACCCATATAATGTGTTGGAGAGATGTAAACTTCCCTACGTACATTTACTAAAAGTTACTCATTTTTTACTGAACATGTTTTGACCTTCCGTAATGATATAATGACTTCCTGTCACAAGATACTAAAATATATAACATGTAGTGGAGCCATTCTTTCATGTGTTGTTAGCTTGTTGAAGTAAAATCACTCACGTATGCATTTAGGGAACTAAAATATCAAATCAATTCAATGATTGTTAATACAAAAAACAACAAAAATGAAGACTAAGTGATACCTACCTTCTTCCAAACATCAAAAAACAACAAAATGAAAGCGAATCTGAAAGGATATCGATTCAGAATGGAAAAACATACATACCCTTATGTCTTTCAAACCAAATCCGATGAAATGGCTTCCACTTCCTTTGACTCACCTTCCCTTGTGTCTTCATACACTAAGAATAAAATAGAATCAACCACGTTTCCTCTCATTTAAATGAACAATATACCCCTCCCCTGGCATAACCACACTCACACACATACAAATTCACTATCTTCTTTAAAATGACCAATATACCCCTCCCCCTCCTCATGAATAACCCTGAATCTGAAATGGGCTATTTTATCCTCCACATTACCTGCCAAGATCCAATGATTATTACATTTATTGTTAATATAAATACCTGTATAGCTTAATTTTCCAAACACCTCCCCTATAAACATGGTTCTTGCTCTGGATCCTTTGTTTGAGAATAAATTATTAGTTTCCTAATCTTTCACTTATTTAACAGAATTAAGAAAAAAAAAATAATGGAACATTAGTTAAAATGATTTTATCAACAACAATTCTTATCTAGTAAGCATTAGTTTAATTTTTAGAATTACATATATGCATCCATAACTAATTATGCCATACAAGCATAATATGGTTGATACTCAAGAAACCCAAGAGATCCGGTGCCCAAATAAACAAAGAAAAAGTAATGAATGGACTTACCACTTAGCTATGACATCCAGTTCTACCTAAGATGGCCAACTTCACCAGGATCTTATTTTTCTTAAATCATATCAATAGCCTTCTCAAGTACAAAGTTGTGAGCACATTTTTCATGACCATCAATTATGGATCAAGTGATTAATCATCAAACACTTCAGTAATACAAGAAAATTAAGTAAATAAAGTTTTAGGCTATCATAAATAATAGATTAAATTGCGTTTTCTCAATCATAAATAATGAAATTGAATCACCTTTCACTTCTAGCACATCTGGTTGAGAATGGTCATGAAGAACATATAACCTAGAAATTATAAACCAAAACAACCTCAGGATCAACAATATGTTTCACACTTATTATCTGTATAAAAATTAAGAAGAAAAAGAAATGGATAGAGAAACAAAGGTTTGGTAGTTCTATAGTAGCCGATCTAGTTCATAGTAGGCCTTGCTGAAAGCTTCCAATTGGCAGCCCTCAAGATCCTTCAGAAGGAAAGCTTCGTCTGGATCCATGTATCACCTGCTTCCTTCAACACGACAATGACTTCCCTACATGGGTAGTTCTTGTAGTAATGAAAATGGAATTCCACTTAATTTGTAAAGAACATGAAAATGATAAATAAAAAGAAGTATACTTGTAGATTGGAATGATTTTATCAAGAATGGGACAGGAAGAGCAAAAGTTTTCTTAACACCATTTGTAGGTTTTGATAACAATAAGTACCTGACTGGGCCAAAAAAAGACTGGTATTGAGAAGAACTTTAACTTGGATAAGACAGGGGAGCAGTTCAAGAATGAAGGAGCTTACCTGAATGTTTTTTGAGAATTCAATGGTGACAACATACCATAGATCTAGAACGATGGTCAAAGAAGAACCAAGATCGGTAGCAGATATAGATGACAGTAGGCAGAACACGCGTCGATTTGGATTTCTGGATTTGGAAACAAATAGTAGGAGCGGTGGCAGCGGTTGTGGTGATGCGATGGTGATGCGGGCTTGAGCCATAGATGTCCTATACGGTAAAACATGAGTCGATTGAGATCAGAAAATCTAGATATGATGATACAGAGAACACAAATAGGTGAAAGTCAAATTGAAGATTGAAGCACCAAGAGATTAAATAGAGATGAAGGATGGTGCGGCGGTGGATTTGATTGAGGAAAAAGGGGGAAGGCAATTTGTAGGCGGCGGCGATGATAACATAGAGAGCTGATTTTCGACTCACCTGGATGACTTCGCACACAACTGCGTAAAACAGAACACCTCGACATTCTCATAAAAACCCAAGATAAAGAATGCGTTGGAATAGATAACATACATAAAAAAAATCAGAAAAAATAAGCATACCCCCTTAGATTATACGGGAATCCAAAGGAACTAAAGAGGAATGGACAAACAATGGTTTGAATCGATTAGGGTTTCTTACGGTGAGAGAAATAGATCGAACCTGAAGAGAAGGACCGTAGATGAAAATGGAATTGTTTGTTCCTTAAGATGCACAACAAACAAAAATTGACAACACAATCAATCCTCCTAGTTCTTTTATTGGTACGGATATGGTTGGCTGAAGGAGGCTTTATAGAGTAGTTCCACTTACCTATTCAATTGGCAGAAAATACTGGTTCTTCTTTGACTATTGACCAGTTCAATTTGAAGATTGACCAGATCAATTTGAAGATGAAAACTGAAGACCTATTCAAAACGTGAGTAATTCAAGAACTTGTTGACCAACTAAGATCTGGTTTTTCATGTGTTGACTCATTCTAGTCAAAAAGTATGATTTTTTTTTTTAAATTTAAATCCTCTATATTGGGTAAGATAAGGATGTAGGTTTGAATGTTTTAATATTAATTTTACATTTGTACTTAATGCATTGTATTTTGTAATTTGTTGATAAATGTTTGTACATTCAGCTTAAAGGTTTGGACGTCTTAAATCTATTTTTAGAAATAGTAAGGTTTGTATAATAAGATAGTATATATATATATATATATATAT